CATATATAAATTTGCATATTTTACACAGGTTTTTTTGCTGTAGTTTGGCGAATGTCGATTTACAAAACTATACACCGATAAATGGTTAAGCAAAGCCAAAATTTTTGTAAACAAATACACATAAAATATGAATTTATTTAAAGTAACTAGTTTGTCGAAATTTCCCCTTAAAGCACTTACAAATATTTTATTTCTCTCAACAGGTGTCAACATGAGCTGCTTGAGAATCTCACTTACACAGAAATTCGTGAAATTTATGCACAAACCGAGAATCCTTCGTGCACCCTGTTGGATGATATTGTGAATGGCACACCGATTGCAGCAGATTTTGGTGAATGCGAGGATTGGATATTTAAATATGAAAGTGGCTATCAAAGTGTCACAACGGATGTAAGTGGCATTTAATACATTAATTCGAATTTGTTGAGTGTGTGGATGGTTTACTTCTGTATTTCGAGTTTGTGTAAAATTGCTTGAGTTTACTTAGTTTGCATAATAAAAAACATAATAATTAAAAAAAAAAATCGCTCAAAAGTATGTAGATTTAAAAGTAGTTTGGAATTTTAACTTCTTAAACAGGTTACGAGCCTCTTCAAAAATATTTTCAAAAAAAAGTTTACTTAAACTTCTATCGTTTGAGAGCCATATTAAACTATTTCTCTTAAATTGTTAAATAAATAATAACTGGTGGCAACCATCTTGAAAAATATTTTCTAAATAAAGTTTTCTTAAACCTCTCCAGTTTGACACTCACATGCAAATATTGCTTTTATCTTTACAATTAAACAGGTTTGTCAATTTTAAACAGGTGGAAACCATGGTAAAAATATGATTGAAATATTTTTTTTAATTAAAATTATTTTGAATTTCAAAAAAGTAGCAATCCTCTGCAAAAATATTTTCGAAATAAAGCTTTCTTAATCCTCTTTAGTTTGATACCCATATTGAAGTATTTTAATTAAACTCATTTGAAATTTCGAAACAGGTGGCAACCATTATAAAAATATGTTTGAAATAATGCTTTCTTAAAGATCTTCCCTTTAACTCCTTTGCACATATGTATATAAAAAGTATTTAGTTTGACTTGGTAATTTAAATGGTTTTGAATTTAAGAAAAGGTGGCAACCCTTCTAAAAAATATTTTCAAAATAAAACTTTTTTTAAACTCTCTTCTTTGAAACCTATATTAAAATTGTTGATTAAGCTAGTTAAATATTATTTTTTTTTAACTTTTTGAAGAGTGGCAACCTTTTTCTAATATATTTTCGAAACAAATTGTCGTTGAGCCCTTTTGCTTTGACACTCGCATTATCGTAATTTTTATTTACCCAATAAATAGATTGGTTTTAACATTCAAAAAAGGTGGCAGCTCTCTTCAAAAAATATGATATATGCTTGTTTAGAGTGCCAAATTTCGTTGAAATGCGTTCAGCAGTTTTAGCAGTGAAAGAGCAACAAACATACTCACGAATTCACTCACATTTCCACACAAATATTTTTTATTCAGATTTCTATTTTTTTTTTAAATGTGGTGCTTAAACCCGCACATCTGTGAGAATAGCATACCATAAATTTGTTATAGTTCTTTCTATTTTCCTTCACCAGCTTAAATGGATTTGCGACGATGCTGTCAAGGGCGCAATCGGTCAGTCATTCCTCTACGTGGGCTCTGTATTGGGCACAATATTATTTGGTTTCCTCGCAGATAAAATCGGACGACTGCCATCGATGATGCTGAGCACGCTCACCGGCGCTGCTGGCGATTTTATCACCTCATTTGTGACGACGCCACATGCCTTTGCGGCGAGTCGTTTCATTTCAGGCATGAGCATCGATACATTGTTCTATCTCAGTTACATCATGGGTGTGTGTGGATTGATAATTGTCAACTTCTAAAAAATTTTTACTAAAATATATTCTTCAATCAATTCATCTAGTCTTCGAGTACCTTGATCCCAAGAAGCGTACATTCGGCTTGAATATAATAATGGCAATTTTCTATTGCTTCGGTCTGGTTATGTCTCCCTGGTATGCCATATGGGTGGGCAGTTGGCGCAAGTACCTGCTGATTGCTTCATTGCCAGCGCTATTGGTACTCTTCTATCCACTTTTTATAGTCGAAAGCGCACAGTGGCTGGCAACCAAAGGGGATTACAAAGGTGCTGTGCGCTGTCTCAAGCGAGTGGCTAAATTCAACAAGAAGCAAGTTGAAG